GCTTACGTTCACTTACAACAAAGCCCTTTTAGAACAACTTAGAACTAAATTCTATAACCTTAGAATAAAATATCTATCTCCCTTGACACTCAGTAGGTAGCACTGTCACCTCACAGCAAGGTCACTGGTTTAAGTCCAGGCTCTAGCCTATCTGTGCTGAGTTTGTATATTTGCCCCATCATCTGCACGGGTTGCTCTGGTTTCCCCCACAGTCCAAAGACATGCAAATCGGCCATCTAGAATGAGTATGTGTGGATTAAGAACGTGTATGTGTGTTTCCCAGCACTGAAAGCTCAGGAAATAAAAAATATACCTGAGTAACTGGTGGTTCATTCCACTGTGGTGACCCTGATAAAACAGGAACTAAGCTAAAAGTGAGTGAGCATTTTGTAAATGCTAGTTAGTGATCTCATTGCAAGAAATTCACCCATTTTGAACAAACGATTTTTAAAACGCCTCTTTTATAAGGGTTAAAGGTGCCGAAGTAGTGTGCAAATTTAATAAATCTCTAGTCAGATAAATTTCATCACCAGTGTAAATAACTACACAGGAACCATTGTTTTAATTCAAATTAACAAGCAAATGAAAAATTTCTGTTAATTTAAAATGTAATAATTAAAACTAAATTATTTTTTGTTATTAGATTCGTTTTTAAGAAACAGTTCACACAAAATTTTATTGTATCATTTGATGCCTGATTTGATGTGTGACTTAATTTCCTTAAAATATAAACTGAGATATTTTAATTGATGTTATTTGTTTAAATATGGGATTTTTATTGTTATTAATATTATTCTTATTTAACCTTTTTATGTGCTACAAAACATTTCTTTGGAGGAACATTCTTTTTAGCCAGAAAGACCGCTGGCCTGTAACACTCCTTTTAAGGAAGTCAAAATATACAAAGAGCAAAGTTCAACTGCAAATCTGTTTATATTTGTATTGGTAAGTTATGCTAAGGCCTGTAGAATGTTTTAGTCATGTATCATTTCAGGGAATGTCGCTACAAATCATATTCAACTTCTACAAAAGGATTTCCTGCAAAACATAAATAGAGGAAAGTGGAATGTTTTCTGATGAATAGTTATGTGGGATTTCAGATGCATCATGCAAAAGTCTGTGCCAGAATTACCTCTGGGGGAAAAACATGTGGGTGCTAATATACAATAATGATTAATGGCTTAATGGTAAACAAAACCTCCTGTCCGCCTGCATTAACAACGTGGCAGCATGTCAGAATAATCTCAAAAGGGTTTGGAGCATTTCCCACCCACACGCACACACAAAACAAACACACAAGCTTTGCACAAAAGCACTCTGTTGCATACACAAAATGCACATAAACAAGGCAGCGAGACGAAATATGAAAATAAAAAATGCATCTGAGCACACAGGCAAATTCCTAAATTACTTCAAATAAAACAAATGTCAAAAAGGCAACATGGGTTTATCGCAACACCTGACACTTCATAGCATCTTGTCAACTTAAGATAACTCTTGTGTGCATTTAGAGAGCAGAATTAAAGTGCATTCAAAGATAAATATAAATACACTAACTGCAACAAGGTCAAAGAGGAAAGGGTATTCCCTGCGGCATTCAGCTGCATGTCAAACAGGAAGTTGATTACCAAAACCGAGAGAGACATCAGCTACAACAAGATGTTACTTTTTCCATTAAGTAAAATTCGACCTCAGGCTGCTGTAAGGTCTTAACCAAATCATGTTACAAACAACTCTTGACCAGATATTAACAGCCATGCAATTATTCACTCTTTAATGTTTCTGTGACTTGCATACTGTATATGTATGTGTATTGGATGTTTATAAAGCAGGAGTTGCTGCACAAAAGGTTTTTTGGATTAATAAAAAATAAAGGTTAGTTTAATGGTGATCAGTAGTTCCATGACAAGCTTTTACATTACAACAGATTCTTAATAGTGTACAATAAAAAAATCATTAACTGAAATGTTCTTCTCATTCAATCGATAGTTCATCCAAAAAATGAGCATGTACTCGCAATTCACTCACCCTACATTGGTTTAATGAGTTTGAATTCTAAATTTGCATTGAATTCACAACAGGAGATTTTAAAGAAAGTTGAAAACCTGCAACCACCGACTACTATTAGTAGAAAAAAAAAACTATTACAATGGAAGTCAAATTTCTTTAAAAATTTTCTTTTTTCAATAGACGCAAGAAAGTCATACAGATTTTGAACTAGGATTGCATGATTTACCGGTACTTTGGTAGCACCATGATACTATGGCTCCAAAATACTGATGGTGCCACTGTAGCCTGTAAACGGTAGTATCATCATTACAGCTCAACAATAGTTAATGTTGCATACTGTGGCTCTAAAATACTGTCGGTGCCACATAGCCTGTAAACGGTAGTATCGTCATTAATGGCTACTTTGGTAGCACCATGATACTATGGCTCCAAAATACTGACGATGCCACTGTAGCCTGTAAACGGTAGTATCGTCATTAACGGCTCTACAATAGTTAATATTACATACTGTGGCTCCAAAATACTGATGATACCACTGTAGCCTCTAAACGGTAGTATCGTCATTAACGGCTACTTTGGTAGCACCATAATAATATGGCTCCAAAATCACTGAAGATGCCATTGTAGTCTGTAAACAGTAGTTTGACTATTAACGGTTGGGGGAAAAAAAAAATCACTAAAATACTTACACATTTGTGCTGGTAAATAATCAATTGACTACTTTATTTTAATTTCATTTAAGCTATCTGCATATGTGTCGTAGTTTGCTGCAGTCATGACAGATCATATAGTGTGATCAAAGATTGATTTATTTATTTTATTATAGCAGTAACAACAAGAGTCACAGTATGTACAAAAAATAGAAAGTCTGTACAAATAATGTTTTCAATAATAAGGGAATTCTGAATTGAATTCAAGTAATATGAAATAAAAAAATATAGAAGTTCTGACAATTTGCTTTATTTCATAGATTTGAATTATGAATTATTACAGTATCGTGATTCGATTTGGGATCATGATACTTCAGCTGGTATAGTATTGTGGCCTGGATTTATGGTATTGTGACAACTCTATTTGGAACAAGTTATTGGTGAGTAATTGATAACAGAATTTCTGTTTTGGGAAAACAGAAAACAGTTGACTAAAACAGAAAACAGAAAAACTAAACCTGTAAAACAATTTTAAAAAAAATAATTTAAAAACAGTTGACTAAAATGTTCTTTAGTGATGCCAAAATGGCTCTTCTGCAGCACTGCTGTAAAAAAAAATACTATTTTAGTACTTATTTTAAACAGTGTGGGTATAAATACCATTATATCAGTCATAAATATGACCTCCTTCATAACCCTAGTGTGGGGTTATCGAGAGCAGTCCTATAAGACAAAGAAGCTGAGTGTTGCTGAGTGTGTATGTAATGAGTTAATGAGTCTGTCGCATTAACTGACCCAAGTGGAAAGTCATGGGACATTGTGCTTATGCAGCAGGAGAGTCTGCAGGGACATCAAATGCAATGGGAATTCTTTATTAATTGCTGATGTCTCGTCAAGCGCTGTCACTAGTGTAATAAATTACAGTTGACATGAGATCTCTGTATGCTCATTTGGAAATTTCATGTTTCAATTTGAATGACATGCACTTGGTTACTCTATGAGCAAAATTAATGACGTGCAATTTTTGTACGTTTAATATGACTGGAGATGTGGAATGACTAAACAACAGCAAGCTAAAATGAGAGAAAATTATTATTTTTTTAAATGTCATGCACAAAATGTATTCCTTTTGCACTGAAAAGTGTTCAGAGGCACTGCTGTCAAGTATATTATAGAAAGGCTATTGAACGTAAGGAAAACTGACTGGAAAAAAAGTGAGTGCCAGAGACACCTTTTCAAAACCATGACACATAGGACAAGCGATTGAGACTTTCACACTTGCTGTGTCATATACTACAGTCAAATACTCAACCCTCATATGAGGCACAGCTGTAAAAAAAAAAAAAAGCTTCCAGTGTCATCATTTCAGGAGAAAAATTAAGAGCACACAAAATGTACATACAAGAATTACTCTCTTATTTAGTAAATACACCGACTGTGCCACAAATACAAGCCAAATCTATAATGAAATAGAAAGCAAAACCAGATATATTTACTACATTCTTGCATCACGAAAAACAGCTTTTCTGAAACCAACAGTAGTAGGGCAACGTAACCTGATGCGCACTGTTTCTACCTGAACATTTTTTAGAGGAAGTAGAAAACAGGTTTCTCAAGTTCTATAATACTAGTTACTGGTACAATATCTAGCTCATTATCTATTGTAACAATATTTCCTTTTGAAAGGCTATTCCCCACATGTGCCTTTGAGCCAAAAAACACTGAGGGTAAAAGCTGGTGGCTCTGATAATAAGAGCGGTCTGAAATCCTGCAGGACTCCTGCATCTGTCTCCAGCATAAGACACCTCAACAGAAGGTTTTCCACTCTGAGGCTCACAGCCAGGTACATCACAGAGTCCAAATCACTTTGCATTTGCCTGAATTCAAACTAGAGGTAATAAAAAGGGGTGAATGGAAAATGTCCTATCATAAATGAGAGCAAGCTAGAACAGATATGACTTCATTCTTATGCTACATTAGCAAACTATGCAGGAAATAATGTAGACACATTTATCTCAGAGTCAGAATTAATTATGGCACACGCTTTAAAACAAAGTGGCTAATGATGTCAAGGTTACTGTGTCAGTAAAAGTGCAAAACTTAGAGACTGTGTAGTAATCCATCATTCCTAAGATCTTATCAGCAATGTGCTACACTAGAGACCTCACCTCACCTAACTGGATTCTACAGAGGATATAAAAAACCCTACGAGGGAGGCAACGGTTATACAGAATAACTTTCTTCCGCTATAGGAAACGCGTGCTCTGCGTAAAAGCAACTCCACCGGCACGGGTAAACACACACACACAGCCATGTAAAACAACACGAGAGTTTACTCACCGTTCGGTCCATATTTATCAAAATTATTTTTCACTTGTTCCAGCGTGAGTCCAGTGTTTTCGTTCACACCGAAGTTTGCTAAAACTTCTGATGCAGATTTAGTGTGGGCGTTTTCCATCTCGAGGAACTGTTTACTACGAGCACTTGAACGGCATGTATTGGTGACAAATGACAGCGAGATCGCGGACGGGCTGTGAGAAGTGGCCAAATGTCCACCGAGGTGCTTTTAGACTGCCAAGCGGAGGTGGTAGTCTGCGCGGACGTCCACCTGCCCCTTCTGCAAGCCGCCGGTTTGAGCCCGTGAGAAGCTGCTGCTCTGTGACTGACTGGCGGAGCTCGAGCGATGTGGATGCGCGTGCACGCTGCTCTGAAGGTGCGCGAGGTTCCCGCCTCTTTTTCCGTGAGCTCGCGTGTTTGAGCGCCGTCCGCGAGCGCTTATTGGCTCGCCTCACCTGAGAGAAGAGAAAGGCGACTCGATGTGTGCGTATGAAAAAGACAGCCCGCCGTAACCGAGAACTGCGCCAGCCTGATAATACCCCGAGTCTCAGGAGGAGAATGAAACGATGAGCAGTTTGTCGTGGATGAAGGAAGCTCGTGAGGTGACTGTGAGTTCCTCCAAACGCGTCATCTGTGAGCTTGAGAAACCGTCACAGCTCAAACTTGTCAGTTCTGATATCTTTCTAGAAAATATTAACTATTAACTGGCCGTCATGAATGAAAATAAGTACCCACGATGGATTATGTACTTTGGCATGAACAAAAAAGTTTTAGCGTTTAATGTACAGTGCCTACACCTTTAGGAATATGCAGCGTTGTGCATAGACAGTTTAGAGATTTAGTTTATCTTTATATTATATACCACTCACTCACTGCTATCAAAACATCTCATATTGCAAACTGCAAAATTATCATCTAATAATTCAAATGTGTGGCATTGAGAGCTGCCGCCTTACAAGAAAAACATTATTGTTGCAGCATTGAACTGCACAGAGGGGGAGATGGATTTAGAACAAGGTGCTCCAGTTCTTTCCTGGCTCATAGTTTCTCATCTGTCCCTGTGCAACGCCTATATATAGAAAATATACACTGCTAAACTCGTGATAAAACAAGAAACTTTATAGGCTACATCCCAACAAACACACAACGTTGCCTCAACGTAGCGACCTTCCTACAACGTTGTACCAACATTGTAAAAAGGTTGAGGATTCTACGTTGTTGCTAAAGGTTGTCACAACGATGTCATAAGGTTGCCATTTAAACATCATGAGGGTCGCATGCTTTAGGTTGTGCTTAGGTGGCGTGGACGACCACTGTACAACATTTACTGGTCACAGCTGAATCAGTTTAAATTTCAACAAGCCGTCGTCTCATTCATCAACGACCGAGGAGACGTGAGTATTGCTTTATTTCTTCTTGCTAAATAAGATACGTAAATCGTGAATATTCAAACAAACCTACGATTTCGACAACATTATGTTAAATCTCTCGATAAAACATTTCCTGATTATTTACCTACGCCTTGTCTTTAGTCAAATGGACAATAATGTTTTTGAAGTTCAGTTTTCTCCATATCCATCGCGATCAGTTACTTCATCACACGAGCCGACCCACTATTTTCAAAACACACAAAATAACTTTTAAAAACAAAGCATCTCTGTGTAGATTGCGTCCCGTTAAAGGAACAGTTCACTCAAAAATGATATGTACTCACGAATTATTTGCCCTGTAAATAATAAGTGATTCCAAACCTTTAAGTTTCTTTATTCTGTTGAACACTAAAGACTGTAAGCATTTGCTTTCATAGTAGGAAAAGACTATGGAATTAAATAGTTACAGTTTTCCAGCTTTATTTAACATATCTTCTTTATTGTTTAGCAGAAAAAAGCTAAATAAGTTTGCAACAAATAAAGGATGAGGCTAAAATGGCAGAATTGTCAGTTTTGGGTGAGCTATCCCTATAAGTTAAAGTATATAAATTAATGTTCATATGCCTAATTAATATAGATAGTAATTAAAAGGTCTGCTAGTCTAAATTTCTATTTTGATTGGTCTTTTGATGTTTTATCTAAAACCCACTCTTTTCTTTACTCAACAGGCTTTTTTACATGGAGGTACTCTTCTATTCATAATTTCTGGATTTTAATTATGCGTAAGTTGCATAAAACTCTATTGTTTAATCACTCACTGTTGTTTTCAAATTACTCGTGTAACTTGTCTTTTTAAAATGTTTTCAGCTGTTGAATTCACCTCAGATCAGTGTAGCTGTAATTCCTTATCTATGGAAAGAAGAATTGGATGAGGTAAGAAGTATACTACTCTATTTACTGTTAAATGTAGTTATGTTACCTAAAACAGCATGTCCATAATGTGGAAAATAGATCATGCTTATGAAAAATTACTTTATTATTTTGTACAGCTGTTATTGAAATGACACTAAGTTTAACATTCCATTTACAGTGAGCAACGCCACAACTACAGGGCCTGTTCTTTCTCTTCTCATAATTTAAGTAAGTATTCGGAGACTAACTCTGACTTCTGTTAACTAAAACCTGTTTTCACTGTATCTCTAAATTTATTTAATTGTATGTAATTTTGGTATATGATATATTATTAAAACATTAAAATAAAGTAGGCTACATAATTACTCTGGAGATTTTATATGTAATGAAATTACAATAAATGTCTGAAACTTCAATAACTTGCTATAGTCATAGTCATTTAATTACTGTGTTGTGCTGTGGTGTCAAGCTCTGATCTGTCCTCTCTTGTTCACTGCCTATTTTGACTTGTGTCTGCTGTGGATCTCTGAAGCTGGATTATCCGTTGAATTTGTTTCTTCCTCTGACTGCTTTCTCCATACCAACAACTACAACTGGTCTTCAGCTGCGCTCCCCGGTCTGCTGTATTCTCCAGTCCAGAGTTTCACTGCCCAGTGTTTGAATTTTAATTTATATATTTATTTATATATTTATATATTTATTTACATTTTAATGACTTCTTGTTTACTTTTCTTGTTTGTTTACCCTTTAGTTTAATGTATGTATGTATGTAGTATATATATATATATATATATATATATATATATATATATATATATATATAAAGTTTAGATTTTATATATATATATATATATATATATATATATATAATCTAAACTTTATTTATTTTATACTGTTTTATTTTATACTGTATGTGTACTGTATGTATTAAATGTTGTGAAATATATAATAAAAAGTTTGATTATTAATTTGTGTGGCATTTTTACACTTTAAAGTTTACACATGCAGTTGTTAAATTAAATAGGAAAAATAAATGAACAATATTTCATATTAAGCAATACTGGAAAAGAATTGCTGCTTATCCTGTATTCTAGGCACAAAAAATATTAATACAAGTAGTAAGAACGCCGCCTCGCGGTTGCTGAATGTCGCACGACAACGTTGCTACAGCCTTCTCACGTCTTACATTTCTACGTTGTGACAATGTAGCGAGCACGTAAGCGGCAAAGTTGCCTTTAAAAAAATACAACGTTGTGCAGACATCGCTACAACGTAAATGTGTTTGTTGGGATCATCCTTGCCCGCAGAAGTGATAGGAGATCATTGGGAAAGTGAGATAATGGTTAGGTCAAATCTGGCATCATAAATGAAACTGGCAGCCCCATCTGGCTAGACTTTTCACCTCTCAGACTGTTTTCACACTTAGTTTGATAGCTTGGTTTGAACACGAGTTCAGTTACGCCAACCTCCCCCAGTCCTCGCTGGTTCCTTTTCAGATTGTACTTCTGTTCTGGGTCATGAATAACCTCACTCCAAAGTCAACTACAATGGTCAAACAAAATTCTGCAGCAGTTGGGGTCATGTGATTTACAATTGCGGTTTACAAATGTTTACAAATTTATGAGGATGCAAATCTTGAATATGAATAAAAATATAAGCATGACATGAACACACCTTCAATTCAGAGTTTTTGGAATCATGGATTGTGACAGATATTAAAGTATTTTTTTTCATATTGTGACGCAGTTCCAGAAACAGACTTTTAAATGAGCAAACACATGGCTTGTTTTTACAACCGTGAGCTGAATGTACGTAGTAAAGTAGGCATTTTATTCAGAAAGATTGGCAAATGGGATTTAGAAGAGTTATTGCAACCAAACAGATCCTCCTGCTCCCCATTTCTGTTTGTTATCAAAACTGACAGTTGGAGGGGCGTGGTCAAGTATGATAGCCACACCCATTACCTCAAAATCACATAATCTGATGAATTAACTGAAAACAAACAAGAAGTGCATTTTCAGATTTCAATTGAAGATTAGAAGGGCAATCAATTTTTATTTCCTAATGACATGCGCGAATGTATTGTTCACCACAAAACTAGAAATGTGAGCTAACAAAAGATTTTTGATAATCAAAAAGATTATCTTTCTTTAAAATATTTAAAGTAACATTGAACTCCCCTAGTGGGCCCTGTATGGTCCCTTAATTGAAGACCAGTGGTTTAACGTTAGAGAGTTGTTTGAAATATATATGACCAATGAAATCTTTAATACCTGCCGTAGGGTGGTTTTTGCAATATTTTTGGGTATGGGGGCATATACTCAAATAGTAGCAGCTACTACTGTATGTTTAATATACGTTTAATACTGAAACAATAACGACTTGGGATGAGAACATGGTTGGGATGAGTAAACCATGTTCACAGCTTTATTAATTTATGGCATTAGACTTTTTCCCAAACCTTGTCAGGTACAGTGATGAAGAAAAAAATTGAACGGTGATGAAGTCAGAAAAATTCAAATACATTTTTTCAAGAGTTCACACTTATTTATTGCTTGATATTAATAGCAGGTTTGGCATGCTGTCCCAGGAGAGAACCCTGAGCTTGGAGAAAATTGAGCCCAGGGCTTCTGGCTGGACAGTGACCATGTAAGGGGGTACGAGATCAGGTCTTGAGAGCTCCCCCTGGTAAAGAAGGAAAGGGAGGAGATGGGGTGGATAAGGGTTCATTCAGAAAACGAATATAACGGCGTAAAGCGCGACAGGCTATTTATTGTGAATTTTGAATAATCCGATTGGTTTATTAATGATTTCAAATGAGAGACCAGCCGCAATTAATCATATCACGTGCTCCTCTTAAAATTAGCTTGTGAAACTTTACTTCTAAGAGATTCACTGTTTCAAAGTGACAATAAAAAAAACATTACTGAGAAAATTTGCTGTATAAAGCTAAATGTGCATCATTTAAAAAAATCTTAATGCAACATATAGATCTGTATTGGACAAAGAGTAAAGCTGTTTTAACAAAGCTCTCTCTGAGAATTCTGTAATACCCTACTTTAAACCCATTGCTTCTAGAACACAATGTGCTTTTGAGGACTATATTTATCTCAAAATGGCCCAGGTCTCTTTCCACCTATCCAGGTCATAATCAGTACCGGAGCTCTGTTTAGAAATAAGCTTTGGTGTGCTGATCTAGGACCAGCTTCCGCCGCAGAAAAACCTTCATCACTACAGTATGTTCAGATAATAAGCAAAGGGTGACGGGCATGTACTCAATAATGGTGTTCTCAGCAGTTACACTCTGGCATTTCATAAACTGAACTTGGAAAAAAGGCTACATTAGTCAACATCATCGTACCACACTGGTGATCAGTATTCAGACCACTTCCTGCTGTCGATTAGTTTAGATATTGACTTCCGTCTTAACACCACATAAAGTTGGACAGAGGTCTTCTTGGGTTAAGCCAGTGACTTGAGGTATAGCACATGGATGCCAATTGATGGGTCAGATTGCATTTGAAAAGAATATTAATAAGACATCATTCTTATTAGTTTCAACCCCCCATGTTTAGTAGTATATCCAGCTTTAGCATTGGTGATGTGTCTCTTTCAGGTTTCCAAATGATGCTGCAGAGACCTAATTCTTTTGGCAGGGACCTAGGAGAGAGCATGAAGTATCCAGATAATTTGACCACACAGTGTCATTATGGATTCTCAAATAAAAGCAGTGGGACTTATATAATTGAAGTCTCCTTTCCACTAAAAAATAAAACATAAATAAAGAGAAGGGAAACCCTTGAATGCCAGAGTCCTTACGGAAAGGAAATCCTTCCCCCTTTTCCCCAACACTTTTACCACACTGGCATACAATGGATGTCTGTGCAAGTTACAGTTTCAGACACCAAATTTTCCACTCGGCTTTGCGAGCCTCCCAGCTGCATTTGCCTTTAAGCCTGGCTGATCTCACCATCACTTTGCATTATGGAAATCAGTTCCTAAATAGGTTTAATTTTCTTTTTTTGTATTCCATTCTAGACATATGTTGTTTCAAAGGGGATGCTCTTCTCTCTATCTCTCTCATTTCTGCTTTCTATTTCTTGTGTAAAGAAGAAAATCTGGCAATATTACATTATTAATAAAGATACATAATAATGGCAAAATAAGGACGTAAAATTTGTAATAACTGCCATAATAATAGCTGGGAAAGCGGCGCTGTGATATCTGCGACAGGGACACTACTGCGGTACCTTCATTGACTTTGACTCAAGGAGATTTGGAGTGAGACTACTCCCCAGACTGCAGCAGCTGCACCTGACAGAGTGAAAAAACGAACGAAAGAAAGAATAAAAAATGATCAGAAAGAGAGAGACTGTGCACATCCTAGCATCCCCTACACTCTGTCCCAATCAAATACATTGTACTTCATCTTCCTTTCTCTCTCCCTTCTACACACACAGACTCCAAGCACATTACATCTGTGACGCAGCAGTCATTTCACAGGATGGTACCAGGGGATGCCAATGCGCCGTCTGCCAGTTTGCCTGACAGGAATAAAAGATGAGCAAAAGAAAAGGGGAGGAGGAAGAAACAGAGGTTTGGCTGAATTGCGTTGCAGCAATTGTGTAATCATTAATATCTGTTGTAGATATTAACATTGTAAAACCCAGAAAACTTTTTGAATGGAAGTTTTGTTATGGTTTATAAACAAATTTCAGAAGAAGCATGAACAGTTTTGATGAGGCTGATTCATTATTGACAATCGTTCTATAATCCAGTCAGCATAAGACCAAACCCCTATAAATAGTCAATCATGTCCTATTCTATCTCCATTTTCTCTCAACCTTCAGCATCCCTTCACCACCCCCACTCCACACTTTTAAACTCGATTCCTACATAAATTAAAACTTGTCTGTAGCCAGCACACCATGCTCGGACCCCTAGCTCTCTGTATCCTAAGGGAAATAACATGATTTAGAGTGTTTTTTGAGTCATAGAGCACCAAATATGCATATTCCATTCAGTCAAATATCTGAGTGAACTCTTAACATTCAGATAAAAGAAAAACAAAGTTTTTTAAATGCAGACATGACATAGTAAGAGAAAAGAAAAAAAAAACATTAATCAACATGACATCAATTTACATCAACATGACGTCAGATTGACATTGTACCCCAACGTCGTGGGACGTTGCATTTTGTTTGGAAATGAATATCGGGTTGACGTCAACGCCAGGGATGCACTTCCCAAGAAACGACATAACTCTCAGCTGAACTATCATAGTACGATGCATTAGTTGGGAAAAGAATGATGTAGTGATGAGTGTTTCCCAAAACCATAATTCCTCTGTCCCAGATCCATCATTTGAAACACGTTAGTTATAATGTAAAACGTCTATAATGATGCTCTAAACGGTGTGGAGTCACAACTTTTTTAAAGAAAAAACCCATAATTCTTTGTGCAATTTGTAGTTTTACATGCATACACATTTTTAAAAACAATATTAGTTTTGGTAAAAACATGCATTTGCTTTCCATATTAATAAAAATATATATAAACGGCTG